ATCTATCCACCTTGCTCTCCCATGCCCTGCTCCTTTTGGTACCTCTGAAAACCGTTTTACTGATTTATTCACTCATCTACTATTTAGGTTCCGGAACATTTTTTTTCACTGATGTAGCTATGAAATTCACATCCAGTGTGTTCCGTCCAAACCCACCCACCGTCTTCTCTCCCCATATCCATATGCAGTTTTAACACCGACTCCCTCTCTAACTTCCCTCCCCCTTCGCACCCACAGGCGCGGTTTTGGCGCCAACCTGGTTCGGCGAGTGAAGCGCGCCGGTACGGACCTCATCAGTCGGGTGCCGCGCACGGCCCGCTCGCGGTCCCGCTCGCGACTGGACGACGTCACTGACAGTCCGGACTCGGCGAGTCTGGGCAGCGGCAGCGGCGGCAACGACAGCGTCGACAGCGGGCCCGACTCCCTGCGGAAGTCGCCTCAGCAGGGTGGGTGGAGCTCGCTGCGGCGAGTGGATGTGAGGGATTGATTGGAACTGGCTGGGTGGGTGCAGGTTTTTAGCTTTCGGCTGTGTTGATACTTGAGACATGTTTCAACGTTGGAGGCTTGCTTTGTTTGTGGTATAGGGCAAATTTGTTTTCTTGTACATGTTGTTTGTAAAAAAATGTTATCTTCTACAATATTAACAGCGTATTGTTTATTTCATACATTCGTTCTCTCAGCTGGTCTCCCGCCCTCATTCCCCACCCGTCTGACTCCCTCCCTCTCCCCGCTCTGCAGAGGAGGAGGCGGCCGACGAGCGGTGCTCCGAGCGGCCCTCCTCCCGCCGCTCCCTGGGCGGGGGCGGGGGCGGGGGCGGCCGGCCGCTCTCCCTGGCAGAGGACCGGCGGCGCTACCGGTCCTCCGTCTCCATCGACGAGACGGCGCTGCTGCGGTCCACCGACCCCGGCGGCGACCGGCGTGCGAACGGTCAGTGGTGGCGCTACGCACCGTCCGAGAGTGTGTCGCTGGAGTCGGATGAGGTTGAGGCATCGGTAGGACTTGATTTGATTAGGGCTAGGGTACCGCAGCATCGATTTGCCGTGAAAAGTCTGAACAGCATGCTCAAATGCACTGTGATATGTAAATCAGACTCAAAGATACCACTAAAGCACTTTTTTAGCGATCGCTTATGCCTGGCTCCTCGCCTGTTTGTAACTTATTGCGATCACAGTGTCTGTGTGTATGTGTTTACAAACGTTTTACTTTTGTGCGCGCAGGGAAGCTGAGCCACCGGCTGAGTCTGGGCCCGGGCATGGGTCGGACACGCCGCGCCATGTACTACAACGACGAGGACGACACGATTCCCACACGGGACGTCGGCCTCAGCCAGCCCAGTGAGTAAAGGGCGTGGTCACGGGCCGAACGCGGTCAGTTTTAGCCCGTTCTCTTGTTTGCTTGACTTCAGGTTTACTTCAGGCTGCTTTGCTCGGGTTTCCTCACCATGTGAGTTATGGACATACTCCGTGTTTTTCAGTACTGTTTCTGTAGCTGACCTCATGAGAGCTAACAACTGACCGCACGGGTGCCCTCCCGACAGACGGCCTGCCGGCGTGCCGCTCGGAGGTTCTGATCCGGCCATCGATGGGCTCCATCTCCAGCATACACTCGGCCGACATCGTGTCACTGAAGACCTCGCCCGCGCCCGCCAACGGAGGATGCTTCCAGGTGAGACGAGAGCATGGCATGAGTGCGCGTCTAGGGAATCGTGGTGGAGAGCAGAACGAAGCATTGTCTCGGCATGAAGAGGGGTCTGCGAATGATTCTGTTGTGTGAATGATTATCCATGGGACGGTGTGATCCCATGTGGCGTTGTCTTGAAGTTCACGTCGAATAGGAAATGACGTAATGAATTTGCGTTGAACGATGCGATATAAATCATGCGATGTTGAAAATTCCATCATTGTACAATGTAAATACTCTGTTCGAATTTTCTACGATTCTGGCCATTCAGCCCTAGATTCGATTCGATATCAACACGGCGGTCGGCTCAATGCCATAACTTTTACATGCCTGCGGGTGTACCCCATACCGTCACTGGTCATGAAAAAGGAGGGGTATTTCTCATGACAAGTTTGAAAGGCGTTCATTCTTATCCTTAATTCGTGTCTTGTCTTGCTACCATGCCACTCAACTCCCTCTTTTGTACGTGGAATCTGGAATGCGCATACTGAGCATGTCCTTTTTTTCTCATCTTGCTCGTCGCTTCCCTGCCTGCTTTATCCAACCCCTCTTCTTTCTTCCGTTCCGTCTGCCCCCCCCCCCCCCCCTTTCGGTTGTCGTGGTCATCACAGCATCCTTTCTCCCCTCTTTGTGGGCTCTTCCTTATACTGGGATCTAACCCATCTTCTTTCTTCTATCATCAGAGTCTGGTGAATATCAGCACGAGCCCGGCGCCGGGCGTCGGCGGCTCCCCCGAGCACTGCACCACCATCTCGATCGCGGGCGACAGCGCGTCCAGCACCAGCACCGACACCGGCACCATCACCATCAACGGCCAGTCGCCGGCGCCGCCGCCCAAGCTGCCGGCCAGATCCGCCGCCGGCACACCGGACGTCAGGTTTGTGTGGGAGAGGTTTATGGCGTGTTTGAGAGGTCACTCGCTCGAATGCTATTTTTACCGTTTTAAATCTGCCGGGGTTAAAATGTTTGATGTTTTGTGAATCAAGTCAAAAATAAATGAATAAATAAAGCGTGTTTAAGGAATGTTTTTTTTTTTGCTGCAGTAGGTATTGATCTTTCTGGAGACTTCTATTCGTTTTAGTTCGCTAGTTGTCATAATGGCCAATTCATCACGTCTTTTATAAGAACGTATGCATAGCTGCTACCGTACCGCCGTACTCACGCCATGCCTCTGCTCCCCGCTCAGGACGCCGCCGCTGCCGGCCAAGTCACTGGCGCTGCGCCGGCCGCAGCTGACCGAGTGTGACTCGCCGAGCTCCAGTCAGAGCGCCTCGCCGCCGCCCAGCCAGCCGGGCTCGCTGCCCTACTCGGCCAGCCCGGTGCCGCCCTCGGCCGGCGCGCGCAGCATGCCGGCCACCCCCCTGCAGCGGCGGCGGCCGACCGTGCCTCCGCGCCAGGCGCCGCCGCCGCCCGCGGCCGACGACGGTGTCAGTCAGAAGGAGCGCGCTGCCGCCGCCGCGCTCTGGTATGAGTATGGGTGCGTGTAGGTAGGGGTGCGTGTACACACACACGGCCTCGCTCGGTGCTACAGACCGCAGCTGAATCAGCTGTCGCGGCGGAGTGGTGATCGACCCGCGCTCGAGCGCCGGCCTCATTGTGTCAGAGTCGCCGCCGAGTCGGTTTGCGAGTCGCGTGAGTGAAACGAATGGCAGCTTGTGGCATTTCTTCATTTATGTAGGTATTGCATTATGTAACGCACATTTATATGAATAAGACAATCATGAGCGCATCGGTCTTGTGTTATTATTTATGTTTGCCGTATGTGTACTTATGTCGGTAGCAGAGTGGGAAATTATTGTTTTATCTTCCTGATCTCGATGTGTGCGGCTCTCCTGCGGGTGACGGCAGAGGTATTGCGTGCGGCGCCGGGAGTGGGTCGGCCGCTAGGTGCGTCGTGTTGAGGGCGGGCCGAGCGCCCCCGGTAATCTTCCAGACCACCGGACACTGCCAACTGCCGTGACTCCTATCGGGGCCGGGCCTGTCCGCGCCCCGTGTCTGCCGGCGCGTTAGTCAGTATCTGCTTGTCTGTCCGTCTGTCTGTCTGTCCGTCTGTTTGTCTCCCTAGCCTCTCCTCCTTTCCCTATATCTCTGTCCGTCTCCGCCGGTCGGAGCTGGCTGGCTGTTTGGCCCTCGCCCGTTAGCTGGTAGTAAGGCCGCGCTGGCTTTCGGTTCCCGTATGCTTACTCCAGCCTCCCGCCCAGTCCTGTCACCGTTGAAGCGATGTGATATCTGTTGTAGTCAGGAGGCGTTGCGCTGTAGAGTACACCTGAATGTGACCGTGCCGTGTCGCTTTGTCTCGAAATATATGGAAGTTATGACGGCTATTTTTTGTTGAATATAAAACCTTGAGGATGCGGAGCCGTGGAAATTTCAGACGGCTCCGGCTCCCGCTCCGGCTCCGGAGAAAAATTCGGCTCCGGCTCCGACTCCGGGTGAAATGTCATAGCGGCTCCGGCTCCGGCTCCGGCTCCAATACTCAGTACATCCCCTATGCGATTAAATACGGGTGGAATAAAAAAGACGATGGGATTGGTGCACGTTGCTTCTGTATTTGCATAACAAGGCCATTTTCATATTTACAGGCCACATGTTTTACTGCCTTGAACTGTCAAACCGAACTAAGCCAATCATTTTTCCTCTTCAAAAAAAGGAGCCGGAGTCGCCACCTTTTTTGACGGCTCCGGCTCCGGGCTATATTGTTTCACGGCTCCGGCTCCGGCTCAGGGCAAAATATGCCGGCTCCGGCTCCAGCTCCGGCAATGCCGGCTCCGGCTCTCTAGCTCCGGCTCCGCGCCCCTGCCGGGCTTCTTCAGAAACAAAATTTTTGGTAAGTGCTCGCGCCTTACCGAGCTGATATTACCGAGCCGATATTACCGCCTTACCGAGCTGCCTTACCGACTTGCCGAGCTGATATTAGTCTATTCTTTAGAAACGATGTTTAATAAGGGATAGTTGTGCGTTTCGGGGTTTAAACCATAGAAATAAAGAAGGTTTAGACACTGTTCTGGTTCAGGGGCCTCGTGCGCCTCTTGTCCCGGCCCTGAAGACTGAAGCCATGCAAAATGAGGTCACCGGTGACAATTAATTTCATCTCTCATTTTGAACCTCGTTCTCCAACCTACATACTTTCCTCCGGAACCCGAGCTGCTTCCCTGACTGCCCTGACTATTTGCTATGGGTTCGTCATGGGTCCGTCTCGGGTCCGTCCCTCATTGTCTTTTTTATGACGTCATAAATATCAGCTGAGCTGAAAACATTCAGTTACATGTATTTAGGGCCTTGCAGTTACAGAAATTATCAAAACCTTGCAACAAAACATTATTGTGTACAATATTGATATTGTATAGAAACGGCGCGCGGGGTAGGTTGTGAAAATTTGTCTTTTGCCTTTGTTTTTGTTGATTTTTCAAATAAAGTTGTATATTATGCATGGCCAATATCCTGTATTTGATGTAAAAATGCCAGTAAATGACTACACACAGGGTGACAACCTACCCATAAGCCAAAATACGCATAATTTCATCAAGTCAATTTGCCTCAAAAGAAAATAAATATTCGAAACAACAAAAGTTTATTAAGATAAGATTCCTTGCATGTGTAGAACTATTGGAAATCTGTATTAACACAAGTGGTTTTATGGAAGACTGCTGACTGAATTTGATATTGAAAGTATCAGAGTTCAGACCTTTTCAATAAGGTGGTGCTAGGTTACGATGGCCTCTCCGACCGTGTACCAAGCATGCAAAGTATGGATAAATGTGTTTGTCCCTACTTGCCAGGCTGGCACTCCCATCAAGTTGGGTGCACTTTGGCGTGCACGACGCAGGTGGCACGCTTGCAGTCCAGTGTAGATTTATAACTTCTTACTTCTATAGCAAAAATCCAAGGCTTTTGTTTGGTGTTGGCTGTCATGGCTGGTATGGATTTTCAGCTTGGACCCCAATGGTGTTGCTGCTATGCCTTGCAGTCTGGAATTGCACCCATGGTTCAGCTTGAGAGCTTTATTATGGATTTGTGGTCACTGGTCACCACTAGTTGATGTGGTATTTATTTACTTTAGGCCCGCATACTGCATTTGGTTTCAAGCTCATTGTTGAGGATGGCTGCCATGTTGCAGTAAAAGTGGATGCAGTTGGGTACAAAGTCATCACCTGACAGGGGCGTCGCCACGGATTTTTTAGTGGGGGGGTCGGGTTTCTAGTCTTCACCCGATGGGTAGGGGTGTTTTTTTTGCCACACTTCCCAGTTTTGTGCGTGCGTATGTGTGTGTGTGCGTGTGTAACAAATCGGCGCGCAGCACCGCCAAATTTGGTATAACCTATTAGGTAGGTATACCTACCTACATCACTTGCGTAAAAATTATCACTGGTCACTTAAGGTCAGGTCGCCATGTCAAGTTCAGTTATACGGTATACCTCTATAAAAACTTTCCCCTCTCGCCATTCTTGTAGCTTTTCTCCCATAACTTCGAAATTTGGTACACTGTATAGGTACCTAATATATGGGGTTATACGTGTCAGCAATTCATGATTCTAACTGAGGATTTACATCTATGATCTGAAGGCAGATCAAATACGTGACCTCATCATTAGAAAATAATGAGAAATTAGAAAAAGCACGAATGCCTCCTGCTTTGAAAAAGTTCGTCAGAAACGCAAAATATCTTTGGAGCCATGACAAATCAGCTCATCATTGCCAGGGACAGGGTGCAACTTATGGCGAGTGATGACTCGAAAGGTCATTAGTGGAAATGTCCATCGATGGCCACCAGCATTTTTTTTCTACAACTTTTGACGAAGACGCGGTAGAGCGATGACAGCACCTGGAAGGTGTTGTGCACTGTTCAGCACGACAACACGGATCCATTCATATGCAGCAGGAGGTCCTTTTCCGATCAGGACATAACGTTGACCTGAGGTCGTTTTAACGTTAATTCTGAATGGTCAAATTTTAACTCATGTGACGCGTCTCAAAGAGATCAAGACGGTGGTGACAAGACAACATATGTACATACCATACAAATTCACGGAATCGAAAGTTATTGCAAAGCAGATGTTTCGGCAGAATCTGTCCAGTTAGCTGTTTGCCTTCTTATGGGCCAAACATAGACCTGAGATGAAATCTAACGCGAAGCTAGCGAAAGAGCGTTAAAAGAGCTATCGAATAGTTTTCTGCTTCACTGTAGCCCTTCTATTGGTGGTTTCCCAGTCGCTAACGTATAACGTATACTAAACTAACGCTGAGGCATGCTTTCGACCCCTGATCGATCTACAGGTTTGCGGAAAAAAGAGCATACTGCCCGTGACGAGAGAAAGCCGATGATACCCATTTACAAGTTTTCGGGTCAGCTCAGGACTCAGGTCATCGCCAATAAGTAGAGAAACTCGGGACCTGCTAGAACTTAACGAATGTAAGTTGTGATGGTTTTTCGAGGTTCTGATTACGAATGTTCTCTTAGTTTTGAACGAAGATGATGACTCCATGCATTTGGGGTAGATCAGGTCAGGTCAGATCGACCAGTACCTAATAGTGGATGACCACCACCGATTGCTTCCTAGCATGTTATACAAATAAGCAACACAACTACTTCTTAAATGTTCAGATGGGCGCTAAGTTCAAAATCAGCTCCAAAAACTACCCTATCAATTAAAAGCACGTTATGAAAAAGTGAACTAAGGTCATCTTTATTTCAATCAGGGATATCGATTTAAAGTAGGTGATTAACTCGAGCGCACCGGAAGTTTTGTTGCAATCGGCTCCTTTTTGCGCGACTTCTTTGCGAAAGCCCGAGACGGTTCCATCTGACTCCCTTTCCCCTACATGTGCACTGTACAGCTAGTTGTGACGGTAGCCATGGGGCTGAGGCTAGTTTGCAGTTTTGTAGTTAGGTAGGTACTGATCCGACGAATCGACTGCGACCATTTTTTTAAAACGATCAGACGAACGCTCGGGGCAGTTTTGGCGTGTCCAATCCTTTGAGGGATAAAAAGGTACTAGGATGGGGGCTACTTAAAAACATTGTTGTGCTGGTGTTCCCCGCCCACAGGTAATTGACCTTTAGGTAATTGGCTAATTGGCTTTAGGGAGCTCTTGAAGCGATTTTGAATCTGATGTATTTGTTGGTGTTGCTGTCGCCTGCTTCACTGACATAAAAGCTAAAAAAGCATACTCAGCATCGCAAAAAGTGGGGGGGGGGGGGTCGACATCCCCAGTTTTCAAGAGTGGGGGGGTCACGACCCCCCCCCCCCCGACCCCCCCCGTCGGCGACGCCCCTGTCACCTGACACCTGCAATCTAGCCATAAGAATATTGTTGACACAAGCATTCTCTCATTCTACTTTCTAGAGAAAAAAAAGCCTGTCGGCTATGGCTAATGAAGCTCGTATCTCCAAGTGGTACTTTGGCGGACTCGCATCAGCTGGAGCCGCTTGCTTTACTCATCCACTTGACCTGCTTAAGGTGCACCTTCAAACTCAGCAGAAGAAGCTGAGCGTCGGCCGCAATGTGGTGAACATTGTCCGCAGCCAGGGCATGCTCGCCCTGTACAGCGGCCTTTCTGCAGCACTCCTCCGGCAGCTGACCTACTCCACGTTCCGTTTCGCCGCCTACGAGGCCGCCAAACAGCAGCTCTCCTCGCCCGGCCAGCCGGTGCCGTTCCACATGAAGATGCTGATCGCGGCCGGCAGTGGCGCTTGCGGAGGTCTGATAGGATCGCCTGCTGACATGATAAACGTACGCATGCAGAATGACGTAATACTAGCCCCCGACAAGCGCCGCAACTACAAGCACGCCGTGGACGGTTTGATCCGCGTGCTGCGAGAGGAGGGGGTCCGGACTCTGTTCGCCGGCGGCACCACCGCCACCGCCCGAGCCATTCTGATGACCGTCGGACAGCTCAGCTTCTACGACCAGGCCAAACAGACACTGCTGCGCACCGGCTACTTTGCCGACGACGTCACCGCCCACTTCACGGCCAGTCTGATCGCGGGCGGCATCGCCACCACGATGACGCAGCCGGTGGACGTCATCAAGACCGTCACCATGAATGCCAAACCGGGAGAGTTCCGGGGCATGTGGCACATCATCACACACACGGCCAAGCTGGGACCGCGGGGCTTCTTCAGGGGCTACGTGCCGCGCTTTGTTCGGCTGGGACCGCATACGGTGCTCATGTTCGTCTTCCTGGAGCAGCTGAGACTGAACTTTGGCGATCTACCATCGGCCAGCTAGTGTTGTCATTGACTGCGTGGTTGAAGACTGAAGTTCAAACGGCTTGCACTCAAAGCAGACAAGGCATTTGCCCTGTGGCCAGTCACTACCAGGTGCAATTGATTCGAAATGAATGGCTTTGAAAAGTGATTTGAAAATGTGTGCGTCTACTAGTATGGCAGTTACCTACGTCGAATGCCCTGGGTATGTTAATAGCGGCGATATAGCGGTATATTATGTGAATCGACGCTGCAGTAATCAGCAGTTGAGTTGCAGACCGAGGAATATTTATAGTGTGTCGACAAAGTCGTCCTTTGAATTGCGATCGCCGGATATGTGCGGTACTGAGAGTAACCCCAGTGTCAAGGCGCTCTCCGAATGTGAGAGTAAGCAGTCAATAGTCAATACCTCATTATGGTAAAATCACTTATGGTCTCATAAGTGATTTTTAATCTTTGCTAACGATGTTTTATCACAGTTGTTTTGTTAGTGACCTGTTGAATCATTTTGAGTATTTGTTTTCAGATCAGCCTGTTCTATTTCCTGAGTATGCTGTTGAGCCGACAACTTTGTAGCTGTGTTGAAGCTTGTATGTATGTATAGGGGTTTAGGGGATCAAGTTTGCGTGTATGCCTACATAACTGGTTGAAGTTGAAGTGCTTCCGGCCCTTGGCTGGAAGCCATACGGGGGGACGCCTCACAGGCGGCCCAGCCGCCTCAGGAGCTCCACCAGCTTCGTCGGGTCTCCCAGTGCTTCCTTTATCTCCGGCTCGTCCTCTCCGAATATCCTTCGTCTCGCATCTGCCCGGGCGGGACAGTCGGTCAGGAGGTGAGTTAGTGTCTCATCCTCCAGCCCGCACTCCGGGCAGGTGGGGTCATCTTCCAGGCCAATTCGGTGTCGATACTCCCGCAGCATCAGTGAGTGGCCGGTACGGAGTCTCGCGACCTCCACGCACTCCCGGCGGGAGAGTCCCAGGCGCTCAGCCGTAGGGGGGCGGCGCACTCCGTTCTGCAGGGCGTAGCGGGTCGGTTGCAGCCGCTGTTCCCACTCCCGGTGGGCGTGCCTCCTCAGCCTGGCTTTTGCCGACGGGAGGTCTATCGGCACGTCATGCTGCTCCAGGTTGGCGGCTTCCCGTGCGATCTCGTCGGCCAGCTCGTTGCCGGGGAGCCCGGCGTGGCCGGGAACCCACTGCAGGGACGTGTGCGTCCCGCGGTCGGCTAGGTCCAGCAGCCTCTGCCAGACTCTGTCCGCCAGGACATCCGTCTGCGCCGCCGGGCCCTCCGCGAGGCGCCGCAGGGCCGACTGGGAGTCGGTGCATATTCGTACCTCCCGCGGAGCAGGGCCCTCCGCGCCCCTCAGGAGGGACGCGAGGGCAGAGTCGAGCGCCGTTAGCTCCGCGCGGTAGCTGGAGGTCCAGCGGCCTGCAGGGGTCCGGATCCTCTCCAGCTCCGTCGCCCCCCGGAAGACAACGGCTCCCGCCCCGCCATTTTCGACACCGTCTGTGGCCGATCCGTCTGTGAATACGGTGTAGTCGGCTGGCGGGAGCCCCGCCAGGGTCTCTTGTGCCGCCTCCAACCGCTTGTCCGGTGGGTCCGTTCTCTTTGTCGGTCTCGCGACAGCACTGCTGATGGTGACGCCTCCCGCGGCACTCTCCCACGGCGGCGTCCGTGGGACCACCAGCACCGGCTCCCGCGGGAGGTCCCTCAGACCAGCGTCCGAGGACGTACTGAGTCCCGTGTCGGCCCAGCCTCGATCTCGGTGGAGCCGCTGTCTGGGCCTCGTCGCTGTCAGCACCGGCTGCAGGGGATCCCCCGGGAGGTCTCTCAGGTGCCGCTGGGTCGCCGCGGCCGTCAGCTGCCTCCGCCGTATCGCGAACGGCATCACGTCCGCCTCGCGCTCCAGCGCTGGCGCCGGGGTGGACCTGAGGCAGCCGGTGATGATCCGGCATGCCTGGCGCTGGGCGACCTCCAACTGTTCCAGCGTAGTGGGGGCCACTCCTGACATCCAGCCCGCTGCAGCGTAGTCCGCGCACGCCCTGATGTAAGCCAGGTAGAGCGTCCTCAGGTCCGTGGTGCTCGCTCCCCAGGCTTTACCTCCAACTGCTCTCAGGGCGTTGCACCTTCTGACCATCCTGGCCTTGAGGCTGGCCACATGCTGCTTGAAGGATAGTGTGCGGTCGAACGTGACCCCCAGGAAGGTCGGCGTCGGTTCGTGTCGTAGTCTGGTGGTCCTCATGTGCAGGCAGGCCTCCCGTCTCGCCTCGTGAGGGTCGAGGGTGAAGACAGTGGCCACGGTCTTCTCCGCGCTGACCTCCATCTTCCAGCGGTCCGCCCACTTTAACAGTTCGTTGAGCGCCGCTTGGACCCTCGTCTCAGCCTCGGCGATGGTCCTCTCAGTGGCGAAGATAGCCAGGTCGTCTGCGAAGAGGGTGATCTCGACTCCCGGCGGGAAGTCGGTAGCGATATCATTGATGAAGAGAAGGAACAGGAGCGGTTATGTAGGAGGTCGCCGCTCCTACATAACTGGTCGAGATCAGAGATATCTTATTCGTTACCTTTGGGTGTCGAAAGTGAAATTTTGACAATTTTGGGAAAAATAATTGCACGTCTGAACCATGTGAACTGCAGACCAATGCTGTACCTATTTGGAATAAACATGAAATAACTTTTAAAGATTTTCCACCATGAGCAGATGAGAGAAGTTATCATCGACTAATTGCACGGGAACTGGGTCGCTCTTGCTTATTGTTCTGTGGCGAACTTCGCCGGGCTCGTATGTGAGACAGCTAAGTAGGAGTCGTACCTAGGAAATAACGCTTTTTTAATTCGAAAATTTGATATTTCATGTTTTTAACAGTTTGAATTTTATTGTAATTGCCGCTCTCTCGCCATTTTTGATTCCACCGAAGAAGAACCAAGTTCGAAAATATATTCTGGACCTTTTTTCAATTAATTTATCTGATATTATGAGCACAAGGTCAATTTTACCATTTTTATTGATTACAATCATGCTCAAAGAAACGTTGTACCATATAAAAATATGATCACATCAGCAAATGACATCCTTGGGGTTCGTGGAAACATATATCGTTGCAATCTTCAGCACATGATATTTCAGAAAATCTTATGCTTCATTTTTTTGGTGCAGTCTGAGCTCGAACTTCGTCTGCCTCGTCCTCGGCTGCTCACCTTATCCTTGGTCAGATTCTCCGCTAGCAGATTAGAATGTGATCGAGACGGACAATGCAATGTACCGACCCGATAATTAATTTCTGATCAGCTATTGCCTTCGCCACATACACCTCAGACTCATGAAAGTGGCCCGGTGTTCAGCTTGGATCGTCAACTAAGGAAAACAGCATGTTAAAAGTTTGAACTCAGCTACTGACATCTTACTTACTTTTTAAACCAGCCTAAATGATACTGCTTGCATGGTAATAGCAAAGTGTTCTTTTCTCATCAGTGTGTTGATAACCTCCCTCTCCTCTGTTCCACAGACAACAGACCTGCCGACATGGTGTGCGACAAGTGTCAGAAGAAGCTCGGCAAGGTGATCACGCCAGACGTGTGGAAGTCGGGCGCACGGAACACCACAGAGGGCGGCGGCCGAAAGGTGGGCGAAAACAAGGCGCTCACCTCCAACAAGAACCGCTTCAGTCCGTACTCGAGCGGCTCGTTCACCGCGTGTCGCATCTGCCGCACCAAGGTGCACCAGGTGGGCTCACACTACTGCCAGGCGTGCGCCTACAAGAAGGGCATCTGCGCCATGTGCGGTAAGAAGCTGCTCGACACGAAAAACTACAAACAGAGCTCAGTGTGAGCGGTGATGTGGACTGGTGATTGCAGGGTCGTGCGTTGGACAGATGATGTGGTTTCAATATGTGGTGTGCGACGTGCTTGTTTCTGTCGGAATATGAAGTGAGAGATCGAGTAATGACAGAGTGACAGAAGATAATGCGGTGTGACTGGCAGACGTCGTGTAAAGCCGTGACTTTTTATGGGACAACTGATCAAGTGGGTTTGTGTCAGATTCAGTTGTTATGTTTACATACGGTGTGAATTGTCGCTGAGTGACGCAGCAGTTGTCCCGTGTACCTGTCTTGTTTCTGTCTCATCGTGCAGACTTTAACAAAGGATGAAGCCGGTCAGGCGTGCGGCGCTCACCAGTTGTTGAATAATGTGGACATTGTACTGTGACGTGGCCATTTTTGCTCGTCACCACAAGATCGTGTTTTCTATGCCTCTGAGAAGCAAAGGTAGACGCTGCTTCCAACTCGACGCTTGCTATCATTCGCTACTTTTGCAATTCATTTGTACTTCTCCGAGTATTCACTGGTGCACTTCTTCCCTCGGAAGTATTTAAGTCCGTGGGTTTAACAATGCAGATACAGGGTGTCTCAAAAGTTCGTTCACAGGTACCAGCCATGCTTTTTTGTCAATAATTCTGAATCAACAATTAATTAACGGTCGAAATTTTGCATGGGCATTCGCAACAACCTTCCTCAAGCAGTCTCATTGTTTTCAAGCGCATTCGACCCTTCATGAGCTCACAAAAAGGGTTCATCTCTGACCATGGGTCAGGCATGAAAATGGAGGTCGCAAAATCGGGTCGGCTGAGAAACTCTCTATTTCAGGAGTAATGGGAATGGTTAAGTCGGAAATGACCCATGGCAAACTGTCGGCGAGGATGAGTACAACATGATGATCATCTAATAAAAACGATGGCTAAAATTTTTGAAGGACAAAACCATGCGAGACTAACAGCGTTTTGAACGACCCTCGTACGGCAGCAGACTCGTGCTCCGGAAAGCAGCTTAAAATGAAGTCATAACTATTGAAAACTGACAAGAAGCTCACAGACAGAGGTTACCCAGTTTAAAAAATTGCAGGTCATCGTAAAATAAAGACAAAGTATCATTTTAAATTGTTTATTATATCTATAACGCTAAATTTTGGGGGGAAATAACACGAAAATCGTCAATGCCAAGGACAACTGACCCTCCAAAAGTGTCAATTAATGTAAATTTTTATCTTACGAAGTTTCAAGAGGCAGATCTGGAGCGAATAGCGTTCTTTTAGACACAAAATCCCGACAAAACCGCACGATGGACAGGTTTTGGCCGTTTACAAAGCAGAACCTCTCCTGAGGAAAACACCCCGCAACCCAGTGAAGGTCTTGTCATGGGGAATGATGAGCGTTTGGGATTTGCAAAATTTGCACAACGTGTCAAAGAAACAGATGGCCGACACATTCTTCTACGATATGCTGCGAAAAATTTGCCCCTGGCACTTCCAATTTGTTCAGGAATGGGGTTGTTTTGAAAAGGAAAATGGTGCTTGGGAGGTCGGCGCCAGTCATTCATGAAGGAGTTAGCGCCAGAGAAGACCTACAAAATGCTCACGGATGGTGTCGATGCAAGCTGTCGGCTTTCAGGGACAAGCGGATGTTGCCGGGGAGCTCGTCAAACCTAAATCCGACGCAGAAACTGCAGAGGATTCCCCTACAAGAGCTTGAAAGCTGGTAACCTTTAATCAGCCTCCGGCAGCTGACGGAGCGACGAAAATCGGTATGAACAAATATTTTTGGAGATACAGCAAATAGTTTGATTTCCAACCTTCCGAATCAGTTGTTAAAGCATGCATATTTGTCTAGTGTGCACACAGACACCAAAACCTTAGATTTTTGGCCGGTTCTTATATGCTTTTTGGGCATGGGAAATGTGTGAACGAACTTTTGAGACACCCTGTAGACAAGACCTGTGTCAATAAAGATCTCTGTGAACTAGGAAGCGTGTGTTGACGTCCTCTGAACTTTCTAGCTAGATTCTACGGTTCCATGGGATAGTGCATTCTTGTATCAATGACGGATCTTGACGGCAGCATTTCTGTCTCGGCTTGTGCGATTTCATTCCGACCGATGGAACATGGAAATCTGGCATTGATGGGTCATGGCCACCGTTTGGAGGGTGGTAATCGAGCACCTCGATATGGAGGTCGTCATCGTTGTAAACTCACGAGCATAGGGCTCATAAACTCATTTTCTGATACATATGTGCCGCATTGCTACATTTTGCGACATGTTTAGGCAAACGATAGGCTACACATTAAACTATTATGCTTTTAGATGTTTACTTATGATAGGTACAGATCAAAGATATGTAGTCTTTCAACAATGAAATAGGGTGCAAGATCGAAATGCTCGCAAGTCGCCCAGCTGGGCACCATGACAACATATCAGAGACTCGTTGTTCAATTGGATACATTTCCTGAGCTGGTCGTCTTGAGACATCAGTAAGTATTGAACTATCCGCGTGTCCTTGAGTAATGCTGTTCATGAATCGAAGGCCTCACACGGCCTGTCCTGTCCTGTCCTGTCCTGTGACCTGTCCTGCCCTGTCCTGTCCTGTCCTCTCCCTCAGTGAGGCGGACACGGACCGGGCTAGGGAGTACCGGGCGGCTGTATGGTGTGACTGTCCTGTCCTGTCCTGTCCTGGCTGTCCTGTCCTGTCCTGTCCTCTCCCTCAGTGAGGCGGACACGGACCGGGCCAGGGAGTACCGGGCGGCTGTATGGTGTGACTGTCCTGTCCTGTCCTGTCCTGGCTGTCCTGTCCTGTCCTGTCCTCTCCCTCAGTGAGGCGGACACGGACCGGGCCAGGGAGTACCAGGCGGCCGTGCGACTGCAGAGCTGGGTACGCGGGTACCGTATTCGGGACCGGCTGCGACGTCTGCATCAGCTGGCGGCCGTGATCCAGCGCCACTGGAGGGGATACCTGGGCCGACGATACTACCGCCGGCTGCTCCAGGTGGGTAACGGAAGAACGTGAGGCTGGTGATGTAGCTCATCTGTCCCGGCCTGTTGTCGACATCTAAAGCCTTCTACGTGTGTGTGTTTTGATTATCCATCAGTGATAAGCTAGTAGACAGTACTGAGAGTTGATACCGAACTGGAGGGATGCACCTACAAAACACCAGTTTAATTCTATTGGTTAATTTCAGGTGTCTGTCTAACGGCGAGCCTCGTTTTTTTTTTCAGGAGACCGTGCTGCGAGCGCAGGCCGACTATTACCGGAGACAGGCGACCCTCATCCAGAAAACATGGCGCGGCTTTCGCTCGCGTCTCTTCGTGTTCAACTTTGCCGAGTGGAAGGGCTACCTGAACTTCGTGGCCGACCAGAATGATGAGCTGAGGTATGCATGCCAATGTGCTACTGTGAAAAGCATGCTGTGATATGACACGAGACATGCTAGCTTTTTGTAAGTGACGTAAGTCTTGTTTGACTTTTGCATCCATAGGCATACTCCTGATTGCCGAGAATTCCTGTCAACAATGATTTTATGCGACGAAGTCTGTGTGCTGATCTGTATTAATTATAATAGAAATTTATAGTTCCAGATAGTGAGAATTTTACGTGTCCTCGGGTTTCTTCCGACAGGGTTCAGTGCGCCCTAGAGTGCCGACGACTGAGTGAGGAGCGGAAGACGGTCTGCTCCTCAGAGATCCTCCAGCAGAAGACGCTCATCAAGACGCACCACATGATCAGCACTAAAACGATTCCGGGCGTGTACAACTCGCCATATCACAGGTATACAGTCACACGGCGGCTACTCAGACGGGCTGGAGCTGCGGGTGGCAGTCGTTAGCTGCTACTTACGAGTAGCGGGTATAAGGAGCCAGTGCTAGAACTTTAGGTACTGGACCTGAGGCTATTGAGTTGAATGATAAGAGTACAAGGATTTGGAGCAGCCTTTACGATTTGCCTTAGAGTATGGTACAAAGATATCAGCTTGCATGCATTTTGTATTTAACAGCATACATGATCAAATGCATTTATCTAATGTCACGACGATCGTCCTTACACAGGGAGAGGATTGGTATCGAGAAGCACTTGGCCAGCATTCGGTTCCCGGTTCGTCCAACGAAGAAAGCGAAAACCAAACCCGAAGACAAAGTAGAAAACGATAAATCCGCATCGGGGGCCTCCAAATTGCAGGTAGGTTTGGTAACATAGATCGACACTAGATTTGGCAAAGTTATGATATTAATTTGTAAGAACAGCAAAATTGCCGGATGTTTTTCGTCGTTAGCTTCATCATGTTTTCTATAAATTCGTTGGTGAGATTTGACATCGAGTTGGGCATTGAGACACCATGTAGATGCTCACCGGTTTCCCTGCCGTCCTCTCGGTCGCCAGGGCCCGTTTCTGCCGCCGCTGGCGCTGCGTCGCCGCCTCAGTCGGCGGCCCTGTCAGTCTCTGCGCACCGCTGAGCCGTTCGAGAACACCGAGGCGGCCGTGCGCGACCAGAGGCGACTGGCCAAGGTGCACTGTGTCTCCGAACAACCGTGAGTAGCTGAAGTCGCCGTGAGGAGCCATATGGTGTGCAAGGAGCCCTGAGTAGCCACAGTAGTCGTGAATAGCCGCAACATAGATTAGCGACTGAGTACCCATTGCCTCAGTGGGCAGTAAGTTGCCAATTGCATGAAAGGCATCGTGGTTCATAGTTATTGGGCCTTTTTGTTCGATAGATTTATGTTTCTGTCTATGTATTTGCCCTGCTGTTGTTCCTTCCCGCTGTGTTCCTGTAAGCCAGTAGCCAATCATACCAAAACCAGTCCCGTACCTCACGGCTCTCCTCACCAAGCAGCACTGTCTCCTGCCCCGCACCGATCCCATCCCTCTGCCTCCTCTCCCTCCACCGTCTCACGCTGCCCCCCCCCTCTCATTCCCCGTCGGTAGGTTCCGGCCTCCGACGGCACATCTACTACCTCCACTCCTATCCTCGGTACACGCGGCCGTTCCATACCGTGCGCCGCCGCCGTTCCGGGAGACGGACAGCAGTCGATTCGTCGGCAGCGGCGACTTTCGCCGCGTGCTCCGACCCGTCGAGACCTTCGACGGGTGTGTGTAGACCGGCGGGGTCGCCTGAGGTGGGTGACGTTCAACGAGTTGGTGGTGGTTAGTGCTGCCTGGAGGCGTCTGTTGGGATCTCTACAGTGGACAACAGAAAGTCGGGAGGCTGATTGGCGCTGGGTAAATTTCGTTTGTCTGAAACGTCTGGGTGGTTGCAGTCTGTAAGCGTTAGAAAATTGTGTCTTGTTTTATTATTTGTATGTGAGGGAATGTTATATCTCCCATGGTCAACAAAAACCGGGAGTTTGTTCGACCTTCCGCCCCCTCCCCTATACATAAGGGCGAGCGTCAAGATGCATTTTGTTGCCCACAAAGGCATATTGGTTTTTATTACAGTGTATTGACACAACACACTGGTGTTGTCATAAATACTCGTACGACAGCTCGATAATACCATTCTGCGAGCTCAGCACTATAGTCTGTTTTTCGTATCTTCTACCTTCACTCAAAGATGTTTTATCCCTTCAGCATGTTTTTTGTGAATCATTTTTCGAGTTTTAAACACATGGCCAACCACTCACTTGCGGAGTTTGTTGCTCGCGTTGGAGCAAGCCTTTATTGCAGCGAAGTTCATCACAGAAGAAGCCTGCAGTCTGAATATGATCACATCACTACAGCACATAACTATTTACAAAGATGTTTTGCTGTGATGTAATTGTGCGGCTCCTTCGGCAGTTAGATACACAAAAATTACAGGGTAATTGGATTAAAAACAATTCTCACTCTTATGAAAATTTGGTGGTTCCGGGTCAATATTAAGGGGGATATAAAATTGTACGTTTTCGCGAGAAAGTTAGCAGTTTTTTGGCTTCTAACAGTAGCGGCGGAACAACCTCAATTAAGGGGGGGCACTGCCGATTTTTGGTCCCATTCTTTCCATGCAACGCCCATAGGGCTAATGTTAAAATGCCAAAATCAAAGGAGGGCACGGTGCCCCGGTGCCCTCCCCGTTCCGCCGCCTATGGCTTCTAACTTTTATAGTAAATCATCTTACTTTTGTTATAGTAAAAATATCATTCGACTCGGCTGATTAAAAAGGAACACAGTGACATCATTATTGAAGCCTGTCCAAGATATTAACAAAAACGTAGTTTGACCTCATTTGACCTCAGTAGACTTCATGTTTCCGAAATAGCTAATGGTGAGTCCTATTGGTCGCTTTTCCGGCGTCGTTTAAGGTTTAATCTTTCCTTTTTTGAACTTTTAAGTCCTTTCGGCCCCACCATGGCGAAGTTGGCTGCAACCCACACTCGAGCGCGGGAAAATATCCACGAATGCACTAAAAACAACGGTATGTGTGTATTGGTGACACTGAAAATTTAATTATAAACACAGCATTGAAACACACTGAACACAGCATTGAAATGCCTGCATGAGTAAGCGACAAGTGTGTGCTCACTCGGCACCACCTCATCACTCGAGGTCACTTTCATCTTCTGTTTCGTCACTGCTTTCCTCACTCAGAGTCACAATCACAGGAGCGATGTCCTCCAGAAGCCCGTCGTCATGCCAGTATTGGCGCTCCAAGTTCATCACGTGGAGGCAGCAGCTCCGCCACAGGTCTGCTCCGACGGCCTCTTGGCTTTCTTTCAGAAGCTTTTCCACTTCTTCAAGCCGCCCCGAAGTGTTTCTCTGTCGAACGTAGGTTTTCATGTTCGCCCAGATCAGTTCGATAGGGTTGAGGTCGCAGTGATACGGTGGCAGCCTGATGACCTCATGGCCGGCTTCCTCTGCCAGCTTGTCCAGCACGTATTCAGGTCTCCCTCGCAGAGGGCGAACGAGCTCCAGCAACTCGACCTTCCTCATGTCCGGTTCGAATGGAATGTCCTGTCCCGTCAGCCACTCTTGGATCGCCGCCTTCCGCCAGCTCGTTGTTGGAACTTTTCTTGCGTTTCTCGAGTGGTACGATGCGTTATCCATAACGATTACGCTGTGAGGTGGTATGTTGGGTAACAACCGCCCTCTGAACCACTCCTCGAAACACTCCGCGTTCATCGACGTATGGTAGTCGGCAGATTTCCCGTCTGTCCTCAGGCACATATATGCTTGAGATATGAAGCCGTCTTCTGAGCCAGCGTGGACGAGAATCAGCCGTTTGCCCTTTCCAATTGCTGTTTTTTGTCCGCTGACCTCGCTGTCGTCCAGCCATGCCACTGTCTTCATGTCATATTGGTTATACCACGTCTCATCAAGATATACTATTGACCGATCTGGTGCCTGCTGCCTGATTTTAAGAATGCGACGGATGAAGATGTTCCGAGCCGCTGTTACTTGAGGTTTTTCTGTGAGAAGTTTGCGGTTGTTTACTTTTCGGAACTTGAATCCGATCCGCAGCAGCTCTTTGCGGAGCGAAGAACGGGATATTGTTTTCTCCATCTGAGTTTGCACTGACGCAGTCAAGGTGTCTAGGGTAACATTTTCCCCATTCAGGTACATGTTGTGCACGATTCTTCTCAGAGCACATCTTTCAAAATCATCAAACCACTGGCCTTTTGCTCTGCTGGGTCTCTTTCGGAGTGGAGATGCGCAGCCACCGTCTTCGGTATTTTTCCTCACCATCTTCACCGTCCATTCCGACACTCCAGTGGCTAAGCTTGCTTCCCTAGCGACATTCAGCTGTTTCGCAGCCTCTTCATCGCCTCGTTTCAGTTGAGTTTCCTTTTGTTTAGAAAAGTAGCAGTAAACGTTCCGAACAACTTGTCTTGCCTGCGAGCCGAGACCCTTTCCCCTCTGATGTTTGGAAAACATAATGAAAAAAGAAAAAAAATAGATTACAAAGCGAATATAAACATGTTCATAAATATCTACAAAAAGTCACCTCAATTATATCAATCATTCCACTCGATAAACAGAGATAAGCGTAAAATCCGTTGTTTGATAAAAGGCCTTGGATAAAAGCAAGGCCTGATCTTCCGCTAGGTAAAATTATCTTTCATGCAGACTTGATTTTAATCATATGTTCGTTGGAGCACGTGGTTAATGAGATCAACATCTTGGAGTGAAGGTAGAAGATACGAAAAACAGACTATAAGGCGAGTACGCTAGACAGCTCATTTTACACAGATACAATACGGAACCGAATCTATTGGCACATCTGAAAACATATTAACTGAAAATATAGCGATATCGAAGAACGGCGCCTTATTGTTAACCACCACTACCTACAGAATATACACTTATGTAGAGGTCCTGGCTCAAGGACCGCACATGGAAACGCCATGGAAACGTCACACCAGCGAGCTCAAAGCACTTTCCGAAGGAAATATTCATCTGAAGCTCCGAGTACGCGCGTGTGCAGACCAGCCCACAGCGTGCAACTATGGCAGTACACGCGCGGTGTCCGTCGGAGCACTGTTGAAGGCCGCCACGGTCGCAGGCGAGAGGCATTGACCGGGAATACATGAGCAGAGTAAATGCGTACTACAAACGGGCTACAACGCTGAGCGGTTTGCAAAACCCGCTCGTGATACGTATTTACTTGCCCATGTATTCGGGGCCATTATCACAGACAAAGGTCACCACACCGCCCGGCGGCCGGTCGCCGCCGGCGCCGCCCCGCCGTCAGACTCGCGCCGGCTCCACTCGAGAAGCACAGAGGCTCCGGGTATCGACAATATTCGATGACGCGCGAACGTTAACCAACGATAAAAAATGTGGCGTCATATTCGTGACACTCCGTTTTTCCCCAAGTCTTTGATTGTAAAATCCTGTTAATGTTGGATTAAAATTATACCATAGCTTAAAATTCATGACATTTGCTTGTCATGGTAAAACGGATTCACAATTGCTATCGAAATCGAGTGACTGTTGGCTGCGTGTCGGTAGTTTGAATAAAGTCACCGATTTTTTAATGGCCGAAACGGTCCCCGAGTTATACATGTAGTATACGAGTTATGTAGTTTCTTCGGGAGCGCCGCGGACGTTGAATGGGTACCACCAGTCAAGTGGAAGCGGACACAAGTCTGGCGGGACGGCTCTAAAAACCCATCAGTGGTAGACTACATGAACGTAGGGACGTCCCGGCAACTGGGGAGGGGCATAGCTACTTCCGTATCACTTTTGATAAGTCAAGCAACCACCTACACAAACTAGCAGATCCTACCATTGCTGCCCACTAATAGGCAACTCCTTTTAGTTCTGACTTCGAAACAAGAACAAAACCGATTTGATCCTTAAAGTAGCCAAGACCCCTCCCCGTTGCGGCGCCCACAATGAACTATTTACAATGACGTGGCAAGGCAGGGCGCGCGCTGGCGGCGCTCATCGCATGCCGATGACCGTTTCAGGCGGACGCAGCGGCGAGCTGATGGTGCTCAGCGGAGCTGAACAGTCGAGCGTCTGCGCGCCGTTCAGGGGCTTCTTCTCCTCTTCAGCCAGCACCTGGAGGGGCTGCTTTTTGGGCGTGAAACGGTTGCTCTTGCGCACCTTACAAAAGCAGAGGCCACACACGGCTATCAGGAGCACCAGGGTGAGCAAGCTCAGCCCCGAAATGAGCAGCTTCTGGACCAGCGTGAGCTCGGCTCCGTCTGTAACAAGGACATACAGGGACAGCGTCAGTCAGCGGTACGAGAAACGGCAGGGTAACGTTCAGTTCACTGCCCACTCCGCGCCTTATAACACGGTAGATTTGAGGCAACGTAATGCGGCACAGTATAACTATCAGGCGCTGACAAGTATCGCCATCTATGGACCGAGTTTGAACTAATAGTACTAGTGCTGGCCACCAGGGGACCGTTCTTCGTTCCCGCCTTGCCTCTGGCTCAGACCAGCTATTTCCAGATTCCGCAGGAATATGTGAGTGCCCGGACACCCACGGAGCGGCACTCTATCGGCACTCACCCGTCTCCTCGGGGTCCGGCTCCGGGGTCTCGGTCGCCGGGTCCGGAACCCGGATACGGTGCGCCACCTTACTGGTACCGTTCAGGAACGGATAGTTGTGACGGGAGGTGGTCGAAACGTCCTCTGAAAACGGGAGCGTAAGGAAGGTGTGACTGAAAATCCGAAGGCATCACTGATATTTTGCTGGGAAAGCCTTATCGGCTGTGGAAATAATATACGAAGGAAATAGGCACGAATTGACGTTTGTAGACCGAGGAGGTCTGCCAGCACCTACAGATGATTAAACGATGACATTTGAAACGAAAAGCAAACCATCAATTACAGCTCTTTTGAGTATACTTTCAAAATTTTTCGTCGTCGCAGACCGGCTGGTAGCTTCTGCAATTGCCTCACCTTTGCAAACGGGACAGCAGTGGCCGGCGGGGACCGGGCCGCGGCACGCGGTCGAACAGACCTTCTGGGCGCAGCTGAGCTGACCGGCGCGGCACACGCAGCTCTTGCAGGCGTCCACCTGCCAGGACTCGCCCGAGGCCAGTGTACGGTTACCAAGGAAACAGCTGCCGTCGCGGGTGGCCTCTGCTGGAACAGAATAAACAATTGTGGCTCATCGTGACAGGCAACGCCAACCGGTTGATGAAAACAATCATGCGAAGCATGCTAATAATATCAAGCAATAAAAACAGCAATATGAGTGGCCTGGAGATTCTACTCATGTACCTAACTGATACGCAGTGAAAGGAAAATCGTCTGAGTGCGACAGCGGCGTTTACTGCTATGTCTGGTACGAACCGATGCAGTGTGGACAGCAGCGACCCTTGCTGAGCACCGGCCGCTCGCAGCTGAGTTTCGGACAGCGCTCGTGGTAGCAGCGGGTGGCGCCGTTCCGGCAGCGGCAGCTGACGCAGGCGCTGCTCCTCCAGGCGGCGCCGTCCGGCCAGGAGGGACCCGGCCCGGCGGCACACGCCCGGCCGCCGCGCCTGCCCTCTGGCGGCGGCTCGGTGCTGCCACCTGTCGGCGAGCGGCCGGGACAGACCGGGCAGCAGTGGCCAGGCCGCCGCTCGGGTTGGGGACAGGCGGCCGGCGGGCAGACCGGGTGACTGCAGAGCACTCGGCCTCCGCGGCACAGGCAGCTCGTGCAGCTGTCCAGGTGCCAGGTCTGGCCCTCCAGATAGGTGCCGCCCGTCGCCGACAGGCAGACTGTCAGGTTCACGTGACGCGAAGGCACCACAGAGTCATCTGAAACAACCATTTCTAAGCGTCAGCTATCTCAGAACCACATGCTTAGACGTGAAGTCGCCACCACACTTTGACTGCATTCACTATGAATGATGTGGCATTAGGAAGAAAAGAATTATAATGTAACTATGGATTAATCAACAGGCACACAATTGCCCAACACAGCCAAAGGCAACTACGTCATCGCATCGTTTCCAGTCTTCCCCACTCCATTCCACATCCACCGTGGCCGTTCGCCACCGGCACCCGTCTTACCGGGACACGTGGGGCAGCACTGGCCGGGCTCGATCTCGGGGTGTTCGCAGGCGGGCACCGCGCACGCGATCATAGAGCACATCTCGGTGCCCTCGTGACAGTAGCACTGACGGCAGCCGTCGTCCCAGGAGGCTCCTGGCGCGTGCACCTCGCCCGCTGTGGGGGGATGTGGCGAGCTGAGCTTGGTGGCATGGCAGGGTAACGACTCTTTTGTGAGGAACCTCGGCATAAAAATGATATGGTCAATAACCCTCCCTTTCCAACAGTCTGGTCTGCAAATTAATTAGGGGACTTACAGCTTCATTAAGCCCATAAACATATTGCTGCATTTTCGGTTAGATTATCGCATCGCCACTGAAATAAAAATGGTAACGTATCGAGAGACTAGTAAACCTGCAAAACTGTGTGGTGGCCTCTGAGACACCCAGTTTAGTTCGTACCTGTGGACACACAGCTGAGTCTGTGTACGGTCGGAGTCGGAGTCGGAGTCGGAGTGGTGACCGGCGCCGGGAGGCCGGTCGCCCCCTCCCGACACCGGCACACAGTGCAGCCTCGGTCGTTCACGTCCAGAGGGCAGGTGAGAGGACAGCCCTTCAGACGGCGGCAGTGGTGGCACTTACACCTGGCGGGGGGGGGGGGGAAGATGGTCAGAACTGAAAAGGTGCTCTAAAAGACAGAATCACTTTCCATCTATCACGGACAGACATGGCTGCAGTCAAGAGCTAACTAGGGGACCTCGACCAGGAGTATAGTTTCGAGCAGGAGTTCGGCTCACGATAGTAAAGGCATGGGTACTGTGACTTTCGGACAAAGGTTGAGAAATCGTGTGTCACCGTGTTGAGTCACCGTGTTTCAAACGGCGTTGAAAATAAATATCCCGAAATCTGCATCCACATTATTCTAGGCACACGTAACGAACAGCCGGCTGCCTACCTCGCACAGCCTTTGGAGTTCACTTTGAAGCCGTGGGGACACTGCTTCTTGCAGGAGCTCATGTCGCGGCAGCGCGGCTGTGGCTTTGGTGTGGGCTCCGGCCGCGGCTGTGGCTTTGGCTCCGGCTCGGCGGCCGTCACACACTGGCACAGCGGCCTGCCCTTGCTGTCCGTTCGGTATCCGTGCTCGCACACCACGGCACACTCTGAAACAACAAACGGCACGGCCGCGTCACATCCGCCGCCACCAGGCCGGCTGCAAATAATCACCGCGCCTCATTTCACTAGAACCGCTATTTATTTGTAGTGCTGCGGTCCCGTTTGACGGTGCGATGGCCAGCGGCGTTCGTACAATCCCCGCGGGAGTGGTCTGCCCCGTCCCTCGAAGTCGTCAGTCATCACCCACGCGCATGCTGCCAATTGCCATTCCGAAAAACAGCACTGTTTTTGAAAGCTGCAATGAATTTCATATTTTTCTATTATAACATATACCAGGCATCACATTTCAATCGTAACGGTGAAATATTCATCGGTTTCCGTCATTTTCCGATGTTTCCACTGCGCCATCCCCGTGTGAATGCCCGCACGGATCGTGCGGCACAGTATACCTTCAGGCGCACGACTTGACTGCCACCTAGGGACAGAAGTTGATACTATCCATATAGCCCGACGCGACATGCGATATTATTCCGGTAAAAGTTAAAACGAAGGTAATATAATTATAAAACACACTTAGCGATACTCTGTGTAGCATTTCTGAATACTTGTATCCATAACTGAAATGTGGCCGATGATAAATTGGCCCCTGAAAAGTGGCAATATGAAGCTATTGCAAGAATCCTACGGTCATAGGTGGGCACGATCCGTTCCTCCGTTCCTCCGTTCCGGAACGCCGTTACAATTTTTAGGAACGGAGGAACGGACTCGTTACATTTTAAAAAGGGTAACGGACCAAGTAACTTCCGTTACATTGGTTGTTCGTTCCTCCGTTACAAGTTAACAGTTTAGTCCGTTCCTTCGTTCCTCCGTTACTTTTCGTTGTCCGAGCGGGTTGATCTTTCAGCTAACCCACAGACATTAATGCAGCAGCGGAATAGTGGATTATTGAGCAGCCCGAACTTGAAGACGGAAGATGGCCTCAGTGTACAGTGTACTGGCCTTCCGCAATGAGCCGGCGTTGCAGTATGTGTTCGCAAAGTTCAACACGGGCGTCCCTTCAAGCGCCTCAGTAGAGCGCATGTTCTCAATGGGAAAAGATGTGCTACGTGCAAAAAGGGCTACCCTCTCAGAAAGTGGCAGCGGAACATCTTCAATTAAGGGAGAGGGGGGGGGGGCACTGCCGACTTTTTGTCCCATTCTTTCCATGCAACGCACATAGGGCTAATGTTAAAATGCCAAAATCAAAGGGGGCACGGTGCGCCGGTGCCCCCCCCCCGTTCCGCCGCCTATGCTCTCAGATGCCAACCTGGAACGTCTAGTGTTCGTGAAGTGCAACCGGCATCTGGCCGGGGACAAGTGATGCGCATCAGTACCACCAGACGTTCCAAGGTTTAGTGTCCAATCAGTGCCCACTGTCTTGGTAGATTTGGTGGGCATTCCGCTTTCTCGGAAGGTTTAGTTTGTGTCAGAATGGTCTCAAAAATGTTTGAAATACCCAACATTTTAACGTTTTTTATTTTGCTGTAACGGAGTAACGGACTAAAAGAACTTCCGTTACATTATATACAGAGGAACGGAGGAACGAGTAACGGAAGTCACGTTTTGAGGGAACGGAGGAACGAGTAACGAAGTTACAATTTTGGGGAACGGTGCCCACCTATGCCTACGGTATATCAACAGTGAGCAATACAAACACACACATCACATCAGTGCAAAGCTTTGAGTGATGTTACAACTTGAAGTTCTTTTCCATGATCCATGGAAAACGGAACGCTACATTGACGTATCACTGACCTGTTTGGTTGCAGACGGGGCAGCAGCGGCCGGGTACGTGGACGGGGTTCCTGCAGGGCGGGTTGCACTGGGCGATGTGGCAGTGCAGCTCATTGTCGGCGCACGAGCACGTGGTACACTCATCTTCCTCCCACTGCTCGCTGTTGTTGTGGAACACGCCCGACCGAGAGAGGCACCCGTCTGTGGAGGGTCAAAGGTCATCAGTGCGCTGTCTTGTGTGTGACAGTTTTGTTGAAACGTATGACGGGGTTCATGTCACGGTTAGGAGTGAATGTGTGATGGTGATTGCTGTGGCACAAGTCCAGCAGTGCTCATTACCAGGTCAAGAGTGGAAATAATAGGTGATGGCGCCAATGGCAGTAACCTGTGAATTACAGGTCAGTGACAGATGGCAGCACGTTTGAAATAAAATTTCTCAATAAACATGTGAGAAAATTCTCATCATGGGTGGAATGCAGCACAGACTTTCTTCCGAAACTCGAAAGGTGACGCTCTGTTTATGGTATCAATTGTCAATACACCTGTGGACGTCAAACTTACCTTACTCATAACAGCTACCGACGCCGTCCTGTCAGCAAAAATAACGACCGCAAACAAGGAACGCTGCCGATCGGTTCGCCACCACCCCGCCGCGCCCCTGCAGAACCGAAGCCGAGATAGGGCCGCCGTCACATCCCGGCGGCGTCACACCCACTCGGCGTTACGTCACGTGTCACCGCGCAGATAGCGCCACCGTGACGTCATCGTGCACAGTGGGGCTGTGACGTCAGCTCGGCAGCGCTCCGACCCGGCTGGGCTGTGGCGAAAACACGGAGTGGAGCTCTGCCTCGAGTGGTCCTCTCAATCATACCCGCCCACGGCGTGTGGGAGGAATCAAATACGGATAGCCAAAAGCGCAGCCGGTAAGCCGACTGGCAGCTGACTAGATTCAACGCCCGATTTGAGTTACGCACAATAAAAGACATTTATTGCCGGCATACATCATGTCTATTTTCGGCCTAGTATCTGAGTACATCAACATCCGTGATGTATTGTACTTCCAACAAGAGGCATGTACTAGCAATCCCGTCGGAAACGTGATATCAGGACCCGTGGAGACAGAGTCTTCGTTGAAACATGTGCTCTACTCACTGAAACAACCGAGTTCCTCTCTCCAAACTTAAACTCCTCTCTGCCATTGTCGGATGGGTTATGACCTCAGCCCGTCATCACATCACTTACGGTTTCAGAGGAGAAATAGGTTACAAGGTTGTGTCCCGCGCGCACAACAATTAACCATATATTTAGGATCAAGGTTTTAAGAAAATAAACATCAGCATAATCATAAGAAGGCATAACAAAGTTAACTAAATAAACAGACGTAATTGCTTCGAGTCACGTTACGTCACAATGTAGCTGCTCTGACACCACACCGCCACATCTAAATGAGGCCGAAATCGGCGCGCCCGGTGACACTGGACCGGCAGTGGCCGCTTCCGGCACTGTCATCTGAGGCCCGGGCGTACGGTAAACATTGCACACTGACCGGAAGGGGCCTCTTCCTCTCCCCTTCTCCCTCCCCTGGTCGGTGTGGGGTGGCTTAGATGACACGCCCCGGTGACTCGAGCCACAAGCTCGCGGCGGCGGCACAGAGATCTCAGTGGGGCGGCGGAACGCGTGACGTAATGTGACCCCGTCCCCACCCGAAGGGTCTCGGCGTCATTAGGCCGGACGGTGGTCCGCAGATCACTCCGACACGACACTCCGTATAGTGGAGCGACAAGCTGAGACAGTTCTACGGTAAACGACGTCTCGGCTACGTGTGAAGTGATCAGCGGTGGTTGCTAGGCTCGACGGCTTTAGTAGAAGGTCCTTATAGTGCAGTTACCGTTTGTCATAGTATAAACAAATGAAATGAGAATAAAAACAAACTAACTAAAGCTTGGCAAGACTCTGTACTTTAAAAAAGAATAGCTCCTCGAAGCCATTGAACTGACTCACTCGCGAATTAGCTGAAATAATAATTACTATCATGATGCATTCAATTCTAGCAGTCTTGCTATTTTAGGCATTCGTATCAACCCCGCAGAAGCACACACACCCTATGTTCCCAGTACTGATATCATTGAGTTACTGAGGCACCTTTCTGACAACTGGATCGTCATTTATGCGATACATGACATGCCAGTCAGTACGGATGGTACTCTTACGAGGAAGTGCAATTTACGACCTCGGTTCGTCTGTGTTATGCAGCATCGTAAAGAGCCGCAACACAGTCGTAAGGCCGCGATAAGCAAGCGTCTACAAGTGTAGACATAGGTGGCTTTGTGTCTCTCGAGCAGCGCTCTCGGTACAGATAAAGGAATTCAAATACGGTGTCAACAAGCTGTGTCTATAAATAGCCGCATGAAATAACAGTACCCTGCCTCGTTCCAACGCAGACTGAGTGCAAAGATGTGACAATGTAGGTACGACTCTACGCTGTGTATGCGTGTAAGTATGCATGCATAATGCATCAATGTACATAAGTGTAAACATGCTTAACCCGCGCGGGGCTGCACGGTAGGCGATCGGGCCGGTCTAGCCTCGCGAAACCTCAAAGACACTTTTTTTTCCGAAAATTACAAAACAACGCATACTAGTCGACAGAAAATTCATCAAAGATTACGATTAGTGCATTTGCATGGCTCAGGAGTCATTTTTTCGCAGACAAAAGTATCGTTAAAGATAGCGTTCCGTAACACTTCATAAGGGGGATAATCACGGCCGATTTTTACGCTCTTTGAATATTTTGCGGAACGATGAAATTGCTAGGTGTTGAGCATCCATTTTGCATGGAAAGTGAAATTTAGATGTTTAGACGATTCCGCCATAGAAAGCAAGTAGACAAAATCAGTTCAAAATGTCTTATAATTAGGTTAACTTTTTATATTTTTTTCTACCACTAAACATTACGTTCACTGAATTAACCAAGCCCAGCAAAAAAAGTTTTACGAGGATGAACTGAAAATAATGCTGTATCGCATGCACTAAGACACTATCTATTAGGGGAGCCAGTGAAAATTTGCAGCCACTTGCAGCCCTGGCATCCAGACACTTTTTTCTTCTAAGGGTTGGCAGTGGCTTGGTGCACTTGAGCACAAGTGGGAAATGTCCCAAAGGGTGTTTTCGCGATAGCTCAAAACACCCAGGCAATAGAGAGCTGCAACCTGGCATACCTGACCTTTGAGGCACGCTGGATCTTGTGACACCAGCCGCACTTTCAAGTCAGGTCAGGTCACTGACCTATCACGTCATACATGAACCTCTGCACGATCCTCAGATGTCGCAACCTTGCAACGCTCTCAGTGCCAGAGTAACTTTCACAGGGAAGTGAGACTTGCAGGACTTATTGTCCTTCAGAGGTCTTACAACTTGTATATCTCATATTTTTCCTAAATGTCACATAAAGTCAGGTTGGTCACGTGACCTCACCTATAAGTCAATGGGGAAATATGAAAACTGTTATTTTAGCGCCAGGAATGATATTCAATTGTCTCAAGTAAATGGAATCGTTACTTCATGCACTCCTTGCAAGATCTGATGCTGCATTTTTGCGTTGTTGACCTTGCATGACGTCATTTATGACGTCACTAGGGTCATACGAGTTTTTCGTCAATAACTCCCGATCAAGTTGAGCTAGAGAGTCGACAAGGTCACCAATGGACTCCGGAAGACCTGCCGAATCGAATGATATGCAATATGACCTCCTTCGACCAACTTCGTGATTTGAAGACCTCTGACCTGACCTTGACTCGAGGTCAAGGTCAGGTTGACCTTACGGTGGCCTCACCTGAACAAAAGTATACCATTCGACGCGCCTGAGCAAGGCGAACACGACGATGTCAAAACCGTGGTTCTGCGGCCATTTTTTGCGAAGTTATTTACCAAAAACCAAACCCGCTGCTTGGGTCACTTTATGAAATGGGGCCTTGCCGGGCGAGATTTACGCTGTTTCATGATATGTATAAATTGGTAGGGCATAATCGTTTGAATAAAAAAATGGTTTGGAAGCAATTTTCTACGGAGGTACACACCATTTCAATGTCCTACCCAGCTCATACCGTCATAAATTTCGACCTACCCTCAAAAGTATTCATGCGTTATTCGAGCAGCAATTAGGCAAATTGCAAGCTAGCCACAGTGCGCAAATCCTATAAGAGATAGTCCTTATTTAAAACATATGCTCATTGGATATTCAAGAAGGTTGCTCCTAAATATTGTGGTTCTAGCTTCAAAAACATGGATGTTATGAACGCCGATAGGTTTCGCGAGGCTACACCGGCCGGATCGCCCACTGTGGGCTGGGGGGGTAAATTTTACCCCCCTCGCGAATTTTTGCAATATCTCAAAAACGGCGGCGCGCAGCGCCGCCAAACTTTCAGTACCCTTTCTTACATCAATTTGACACGTTCCCTGAAAATTTGAGCGAAATCCGTCGGAAAATGTTTGAGAAATTGACGTTTTAGTGACGTCATGTTCGCCATTTTCGCCTCAAAAACTGCAAAAGTTCAAACGCCACTAACATCTTGATTTTTAAAGGAATCAAGACGTAACAAAAAAGGATATACGTAATTCTACTTTGTCTATCAAATGGCTATCTCAGTTTTTTCAAAATTTTGGATTTTGATCAAAAAATTTTCCAAAAAACTGAATTTTTTGGGAAAATAATTATAAAATCCAAAATTTTGAGTGTATCGAAAAAACCGGAATATATGTCAGAGAAGTGGTCTACAGGGTGTCTCATAAGTTCGTTCTCACATTATATTTGCATGTGAAACAGAGTACATTGCGTCTTGATATATTTGTGACCCCTCAATGTGCTCCCCATTTAATAGGCAAACACATGAACACATGCTGCGGCATGCCAACCGGCATGTTTGGCTGCATAGCAGGCTTAAAGTTAATCCAGACTGACTTGACATGCGTCGTGAGCTCCTCGAGGCTGGAACAGCGCTACACTTCGACGAGCCTAATTTTCAGCATAACCAACAAATTTTTATGAAATTTTGATCCGATGAGGTGCCTGCTATGTGGTCTTGCCACAAACGCCTGTCACAGTCTCCTTGCACCGCTTTTAAGCTTTGCTTGACCTGTGCACTGATGCACTGTCTTGCCTGAAGATGGGCCTACGACCTCACGGATGCCATTTTCTCCTCTATAAATGTGCTCATACTCGCGGTTCGAGTTAAGCTTGAGGGTTGAAACTCCTCCTAGATGTTCTTGGAAAAGCATTATGCTTCTCAAAGCTGTTTCTGGGACACCATTCGCAGCCTGGTCAGCGTCTGGACGCCTATAACCCCACAATACCGTGACCTTGGCCTTTCGCATAGGAACATAACGGGACGAAACGGAGGCCTCCTCCTTTGCCCTTATGGGGTTGTTTTCGGGTTTGGACGGGTGTTTCATCTCGAACATGGACTAGTTAGTCCAGATG